CACACCAGATCTTTTTAAGGCCTAATGTATCATGTGTTCCACAAACACAGACAAAAGATCACATCTTAGTTGAATCCCCTTATTTTGTCAGAGATTTTTTGATGAAGCAGTTTGGCAAAATGAGATCCTCTAGTGCAGGCATAGAGGCGTTTAAAGTAGCCTTTAATAAAACTGTTAAACTGTTGCCAATTTGTGCTACAATGACACAGAGGCACGGAGGATGTCATTGCTCTAATGTATTGATTTTCAAGGAAACGTTTGGTATATTCTCTGTAAATGTTTGTGAAACAGAGAAATGCACCTTTTAAAACGTTTCAATGTATTTGTACAGGAGAGCAGTTTTGCTTGCTTGCCAACAGCCAAATGTTAGGGTACATATTCTGGGCCATGTGCCCTAGGTTGTGAAACATACTCTCAACTTAACAAAGCAGCCATTAGTGTTCCTTCAACCCAAGCAAGACATGGCGTCAACTCCCATCTGACACACGTGGATTAATGATACAGTGGCCACATTACAACAGTTCATATGTGAAGGAAATATACACACAACTGAATGAATGGCTCAACCTTTACATACTGCTTCTGCACACGCACATACTAAACCTTCAGCCCAGCAATTTGATATTCCTGGGTGTGTCTGATTACACAGACAAACCTCATCAGTTTGACATTACACAGCTGTTGATGCAGTCAAGCCACAGTCTGCAATTCCAAGTTGTTATTATGAATTCCACATTAGGTGTATAAATCCTACGGTGCTGACTTACAGGCCGACCTGTAACACACACTCACACACACACACGACAGAGAGGTAAAGATGACCTTTTCAGTTCCCCATCAAACCCTGGTGAAAGGTCATGGTCTGTTCTCTCCTGACATTACACAGAGGCCACAACAGAGCAATCCTTTCAGCAACCCAGTGTATATGAAAGTGTGTGTGTGTGTGTGTGTGTGTGAGAGAGAGGTAAAGGGAAGCTGACATTTTCCATCAGTTTCATGTTTGCAGGGAGCAGTGTTTTTCATTCTAAGGTCCAAACAAAACCTGGACAATACATTTTTCACAATCTGCTTTGTTCTAGCTGCTGCTGAAATACTTCAACAAACCCCTCTCAACCCAACCCAAAAGAAAGCAACACAACTAAAACTAATTAAAAACTACAGGAAGAATTACAAAGCAACTAAAAAAGTTAAAATTAAAAACTACAGGAAGAATTACAAAACCTCACAAGATGAAACGTTTAAACTTGAGGAGGGTTCAGAAAAAACCCACCACAGTCTTTTAATTTGGTCACATGGCTGCATAACATTTCCTACTGGAACAGAATAAGAATGTCTTTCTACCAATTAGCATTAGTGAAGTGGATTCCTGCTCTGTACTTTTGGAAAGCAGACACCACACTAAGATTCCCTTCAGAACTCTATAAAATCTCCAAGTGTGTGTGTGTGTGTGTCTGCTGTGTATACACACACCTTTTGTGTAAGTAAGTAAAGTAATGGAATACTGTTGCCAAACACAACCAGTCTGGAGACCAGCACGTGAACTCTAGCCAAACAGCATGCAAGTGTGTGTGTGTGTGTGTGTGTGTGTGATACTAAGATAAAAACACAGAGGCATAAAACCAGAAGAAATCCAAAACCTTAACAAGACAGAGACAGACAGAGAGAGAGAGAGAGGAGCCTCTTTAGAAAAAAACCCAACCCAAAAGTAACAAAAGGACAAAAATATACTGCATGTCTGACAGCTAAAAAAAAAAAAAAAAAACCCAAAAAACACAAACAGGAGGAACGTTCAGACGTCCACAGCTGGGCTTCAGACTCCAACATGCAGACATATATTTTAAGAAGCAGGGGAAAAAAACTGAAATAGTTTAGGACAAATTTAAAAGTGAAAGAAAACTAAACAATGCAGAAACCAAATAATGACTTCCTCCATGGACAAAGTTTTGTTTTGCAAAAATACACTCCACACATACCCACCCATGCACACTCTGCCAGAATGTGAAACACTCACCAAGTGTAAAGTCTGTGTATGTGTGACCCAGTCGTCCCCTGCCGACGTGCAGCCCTCCAGTGAGAGGCCAAATTCTGCTGTGGCTCTGGAGCCTCTCTGCTCCCTGCCCCTCCCACCACGGCCTGTCATGTGACGGTGTTGGACGCAACAGGCCACACCCACTTCCTACAAACACACCCCTAGTCTTTCTAAAAAAAATGTTTAAGTGCCAAAAAAGAAAAAAGAAAAAGAAAATTGCTGCAATAAAGTTTTTTTTGTGACTGGAAAACAAATCTACTTTTTTGGATTTTAGGCAGCGATTGTTCAGCTCCACCACGGGGAGATCGACTTCAGCCTTTGGGCCAGCTGAGCTCTCTGGATTATTTACTGCCCTAAATGCCTGCTTTAACTCTTTCATCTCTTCTCAGGCTGTGAATTCATCACATCCCAATCATTCCAGACACAGATCTTGGACGCAGGACAGTGCCTCAGTACAAAGATGCTAGAGCTTGGCGTATATCAACGCAAAATTGCACAATAATGAGAAATACTAAACATTTCTGTACTGTATATAATTTCTTTCCACAATGAGAATCAATGAGTGACTCAATTAGGAATAGATATCAGTGGTGATATTTATAAAAAAAAAAAATCAGAATCTGCTCATTCCTATCAATTTCCACCCCTAGGTTAAAAGAAATCCAAGGAAAGGACGTGTTTATGTTTCCATGTGCAGATCCTCCTCATCCAAAAATACCCGTCAGTATCTCCAGAAGTATCTGTAGGCACAAATTGTGGTCGACCTTGTGTCTGTATTCTGTTTAATCTTGGGACATACCCTGTCAACACCACTCAGCTGTAAGTCCGCTCCAACTCCTATCAATTTCCACCCCTAGGTTAAAAGAAATCCAAGGAAAGGACGTGTTTATGTTTCCATGTGCAGATCCTCCTCATCCAAAAATACCCGTCAGTATCTCCAGAAGTATCTGTAGGCACAAATTGTGGTCGACCTTGTGTCTGTATTCTGTTTAATCTTGGGACATACCCTGTCAACACCACTCAGCTGTAAGTCCGCTCCAACTGTTAGAGAGTTTTGTTAAGTGGTGAGAAAAAGCCAGCCTCAAATTATGTTTTAAAACCCGAGAGCCAACCAATTACTGCGACTGATTACTGTTCTTATGCCATATGTATATTTGTGTGATTACAGAGGACAGGAAACAGCTGTCTCCAGCCTCACAGGAAGTGTAATTATACACCAGCCTGAGAGCAAGCTTACCGCCACGTGAAGACACGCAAACACACACACAGACAGATGCACAAACACAGGGCATCTTCTAAATTCCTAGAGGTGAAGAAGTCACTGCTGGAGAACTAAGTGGACAAAAAAAAAAACAGGACAAAACTGATGGTGAAAAGTCTACACTTTTTAAACTGACATATGAAATTATGTGCAATGTCTCACTGTTGGTGCAGCTCGTCAGTTTTAATTGGGATTATCTAAACTAACTGCAACAATTAACTAGAAAATTAAATTGGTCAGATTTCAAATTATGGTCAGAATGACGGGAACTGTATATCCCATAATTCCACTGTTCATCCACTCATCATGTTCTAATACACTCTCAATGTTGTCATTTACCAGCCAGCATTTAAAAATTAAATTGTTAAATTGTAATCAGATTCATCACAGAGTGGCTGTGGATTTAACTAAGACTAAGGTCAAAATAAACATTCCTAGAATATTGTCTTTTCCTTCTAGCATTATGATGGCATTTACAAATTGACATTTACAAATGACATTTACAGAGAAATGTCATTTTATCATTTGTAGGACTGTTGATTTATTTAGATTGTGATTACTTGTGATGAAATACAATGATGATTAACCGTGATTATTCGTGACTAGTAAATACATCAGAATACAAACTTTAATAATTTGACAACCTTACATTAGATTTAAGGGAGTAACAGAAAAACACAGACAGACAGGAGGGGATGCAAACCAGGAGAGGCATTATATAGCTGTCTCCAGGCAAAGTCTTAAACTGAAGCGGTTCTGATGACCTGTTAGTACGATTGAAGACATTTCCTCCTCTTCTCTTTCTGGGCTGCAGACTGAGCCAACCATCAACTCCTAGTAGAACAAACTTGTCCTGGTTTTTACAGAGTTGCTGCCCTGCTGGTAACTCGGCTGTTTTAATTTACTTTGATGAGATGCAGAAAAACCAAAAACGGGACATGATGTCTATGAGGAGATCGGAGCCAAAAGTGAAGTCATGTTTTGGCAGACAGTGTGTGCAGGGTCATCAGTACGGCTGACCCGGGACAGAGTTTTCCAGCAGCTGTCCAAACTCTTGGACTATGACAGCACGAGTAACTGAGGAATTCTCATTTTTACTGCATGACTCATCACTCAGTGTATTTTTTTTTATTCTACACTAATGCAAATTGATTATAAGAACTTAAATAAACAATAAAAAAACATTGTTTGTGGAAAGCTTACATCAGTCTAGAGAGATGTATAAGGCAGAAAACCTAACAAAAATCGCAGAGTTGTTTTAAATACCATAACGTGATTAAATTAAAAACAGCTGTCCCTGTAAACTGTACTGGACTAAAACAAGCAGCACTGACTGGAAGTTTACGCCCTCACAGGTGACCCGGGAGAATTACCTGCGCAACAGCACCTTCTGCTGGTTACTTACAGGGTTGCAGCAGCGAGCCTGGTGCAACACCTCCTTGTTTTTACAAAGAGTTCGGATAAAAAAAAATCGAATTATTATCAAACGGCAATATTTGAAATACCGTAATATTTGCCGTGTTCTCGTTCTGTATGAAAACACATTTACTGCATTTCAAACCCAGCAATTTTTCCTGGAACTTTGAATTATCTTATTATCTTATATTTTGTTTTATGTGATGTATATTTTAATACAATCAAATCATGTGGTTTGTATGAGAACTAACCAGAGTTTTACTCCACTCACCGGAAAGTTTTCAAATGGGTTTTTATTTTTTCACCCATGCTGTCATTTCTAAAGAAACAGAAACCTAAAAACCATGGACACACAAGGGCTGGGCTTAGACTGCTGTTGCTGACTGTAGTCCAGAACACATCCAACAATCGACAAACAAAGACAGACTGCAGACACCACACGAGATTCCTGCACGAGGTAAATAAGAGTGTTGTTGAGTTTCGTTTTCTGACCGCTATTTTTAAAATATACCTTTGTATTTAGATTAGCGATACACACCAGTTTGACTACTGCTAAAGAACTGACTTTTAAACCTTTCATCTGTTTATGCATGAACGTTATGTGTTCCATGATAGCCATAATTATGTTCTTCCATCGGTCCATACCGCTTCTTGTTATTGTTGTTTTAGATAAAGTTGCTGCACAATGGCAAAAGTCATCAGCTGCTGGCTTGCTCTGTCCCTCGCCTTGCCCTCGACCTCCGCTATACAAAGACTAAACTCAATCAACGATTTAAAGGCAATCGACTTTGGTCAATCTGTGCCTCTGCACAGCCTGCTGCTGCTCCACTGGTTTGCACACGCCATTAATATCGATACAAATGGTGTCATATCGTTGATGTTCGATCCAAACTGTGAAGATTATGGGTCGCATTATTATAACAATTATGAGAAGCTGCTGCCACATAGAAACTACTACTACACCCTTGGCAACATCAATCAAGCCACGTCCAACACGCTGCATCTTCCAGGTTATGTCATCTATCCTCAGGCAAAGTACAACGGCAGAAACCGGGACCGAATTATAATAGAAGCCACACACCACTGGTTGTTTCCCACTGGTTATAACATTCATAGAGTGTACATCACACAACATTTTCTGAACACTATGGCTGGAGAATATGATGCTGACCACACATATGAGATCACTCCAAACCTCTTAAGACAGATCCGAGGGTTTTCCACAGCGTCACTGTTGGTGACTGAGGTCCAGAACAGATCCAGGTTCCATGGACTTCAGAGTGCATCCTACACATCAACTAACAGCTATGGCAACTATTCAGCAAACAGACAGAATAACTGGGATTGTGATTGTTTGACAACATGTGCTGCTGGGTTTTTTTGTCTTATAATTGTGTGTGCCGTCTTATTCTTTATACTTGTTAACAGTCCACAATTCAAGAGCAGAAACATGTATTAAAGCTAAACTGTATTTTAGCAACAACAACAAAAACGTTATCTTCTGCTGGTGATGGTGAAAGGTTTTTCTATGAATGTTTGACAGAAATCACTTGATGTTGTATTTACAAATCCAGTTTCAGCTTTCTTTTCAGACACGTTTCTCAGAAAGCATTACTTTAGTGCCGTGCCCTACTTGGGCACACTCACAACATTCCAGCCTTTATTCATGCTACATTTTCATGCTGCACCCTGTCTGATCTAATGGTTGTCACTCACTGTTGTCTCTACAGTTGTTTCATTTGAGGGCGGAAGGAATTAAAGAAAGAAAGCAGAGAGATGAATAAAACCAACAACTGAAAAGAAGTGTTGGTATGTGGTGTAGGTATTTGTCATCACGGTGTACGAGCTTCAATAAAACTTGTTTAATAAATTTGGTTGTCATTTGGAGTTAATATTTTCCACCAAATCATTAAGATTTTTTAATAGTATTTGATGCTTCATGTGTTTAAAATAGTTTTTTGTTGGTAATTATCATGGAAACAGCAGCAACCATCGCCTATTTTTGTAATTGTTTTAAATGTTTCATGATAAAACACACACACCTGTAATTTAAAGATCTTAAAAACATTTTTTCAATATATAGATATATGTTATAAATTGAGGCAATCAAAATGAACGCCTCAATCACATTAATTGATTTGTGATATGAATCAAAGTAAAATGTATGATGTTTTTCAACGCATGGACAGAACGAGGAATTGTCCAATCACACCGTCCACCCACTGACTGTACCTTTGCTCTAATACCTGCTATTAGAGCACCTGGTAGCCCCCGTGGACTACCGAAGGGCCGTGTGGGGTATGTTTTAAATATAAAACTAGGCTGTGTGGGGTATGTTTTAAATATAAAACAAGTCAACATGAGGTTTAAAAAAAAAATCATTAACACTTGCAATGACTTTCAAATTGGTGCAATGACAATGACGATGTTAAGAAGAGTGTCTGCTATTGTATGTCCCAGAACTGGACGGAGCAGCATTAGTTTTCTTTTTGATTATTATTACATTGATCCCCATGTCTGTATCAAACAGGTATACAACTCTTTGTGTAACCAAGTACCTTGAAGTAGCTCTCAGTTTCAAAAAGGTTGGTGATCCATGCATTAGACATTGGGGGTAAATATGAACTAAAAAAAAAAAGGGTACTGTCAGTGGAAATAAATATAAAAAAATAAATAAAACAAAGAGTAAAATGCAGCCACTTTATCTGAAATAAAAATTAAACTAGAAAATACAAATAAATAAAAATGCACCAGTTTGCACCATACTGCTTAGGTTTCATTAACAAGGAAACAGAAACTCAAGGGTAGATAAGGCTACGACTCTGTTGCCTCACAGACAAAAGGATCTGAAGCCAGCTGCACAGCAACACCGGTGAGTGAGCTCCCTTCTAACTGTTTAACTTTTTTTTTTAGTCTTCATATATGATTACCGAGTCATATTATTCATTCACTGACACGTTATTCAAACCTTTTAAATGCTATTTGATACTGGTTAGCATGCAGACTTAAGTAAATATGTGTTCTAAATATCGACCATATAAAACCTTTGAATAGTATTTCTTATATTATCCATAGATTAACTACGATCTTTTTCATATACTGTAGTAACTGACTCTGTAACTGCTCCATCTTGCAAGATTTAACTTTAACATCTATAAGACTCTGTCTGCTGAACGTAAATGGCGTTTAGTTCCCTTTAAATGGTTCATGATCTGTATTAATGCCTCTATCAAGTGCAAGGGCAAAGTGTGATTTGTATCTGAACATGACCTGTAAACACAACTGTAACACAGCTGCACATTTAAACTCAATACAAAGGAGTTAAACCTGTTAGTCACGATAAAACTATGTAAAGTAATTACAGCATTATCCAGCAGGGGCAGCGCCAAATCATAGCCATGATTAAAAGAAGAGAACTATGTATAGACATCTTCTTTACTCCTACACAACTGCCAGACAGCATCATGTACAATCATATACAGCCAAAAGAGAAGCCCAGCTGCTCATGTAGCACAGCACTTAAGAAACATGAGCTGTATAATGGAAGGTAAAGGCACATGAAACCAGCCGTCCACAACATGTTATAACATTTCATTCAGACGTTAACAAATCTAATGTGCATAAAGGCAAAACAATAAAAAAATATTAACTTTTGTTTTCTAATATTGTTGCAGGAAGATGCAGATTTCAGGAAGAGTCCAGAGCTGCTGCGTTGCCCTAGTTTTCGCCTTGACTACTGCATCTGCTGTGAAACAGCTCAAGTCAATCCACGACTTAAAGAAAATCAACTTTGGCCAAACGGTTCCAAAGCATAGCCTTGTCCTACTCCACTGGTTTGCCAATGTTGTTAACATAGACAATAACAATATCGTAAGGTTGACCTTCAATCCAAACAGTGGAGATTATGGCTCACATCACTACGGAAACTATGAGGGGCTGCTGGATCCACCTCCTCCTGGCCAACAATACTACACTCTTGGCAACCTCAACCAAGGCTCATCTGAACTTCCAGATCACGTTGTCCATTCTCAGGGAGAGTATGCAGGTAGAAACCTGGATCGGATAATACTGAGAGTCAGGAACCACAACACGGGAAGGCAACGTTTGCAGAGGGTATACCAGGTGTACATCACACAACATTATGCTGCGTCTGAGAATCATGGGACAATGTATGACCTGCATAATACCTACTGCATCACAACTGATCTTCTAAGACAAATCCAGGAGTTTTCTGTGGGAACAGATCAACAGCCGCTTTCGGCCCTCAGAGATGACTTCCAAAGTAATGCTGATGATGTCCAGTTAAGGCATATCAAACTCTCATGGGGTGAACTTGCTTGTCTTGGACTGTTCTTGTTCATTGTGATTGAAGACAAATACTGCCCTAAGAGAGCAAGCAAAGGACCTCAGCGCTCAGTGAGAAATAACATAGAGACGGATTATGCGATTGATAACAAATACCACCCAAAGAGAGCAAGCACAGAACCACAGCGCTCAGTGAGAAATAACATACAGTCACATTATGTTGTTGAAATTCCGGAACACTTATTGTACAGTGATGACGGCATACATCTACAGGTGACAACAGGCACAAATGGGAAAGCCAGGATTATTTGGAGTGGAGTTCCACAACATCGGTTGAAAAACGGAGCAATGGTAGTACTTTTCAGAAACAACAAGGACAATGAAGCAAGTAGTACCTATAAGTACATTAGTAACAAAGAATCAGGTAGTTTTGATACTTCGGTGCCACTAAATGATGGTCTTCAGGCCAGGCTACATAAGGTGAGAATAAAGTACTGCTTCTGGAAAGTGGTGGGAGAGGAAATATGCCGAGGTCCTGAGTTCAAGAATCCCCAAACAGCAACAAACATAGGAAGCTATGGGGCAAAACTCCAGCTCTTTGTTAAAGATGGTAAAGCTTGTGCCCGCCTGTTTGTCCAGAAAATCTTTACAGAATGGAGGTCAGAGTTTGTCAACTCTTGGGTTGGGTTTTATACCTCTTCAGATAAGGCCACAAATGAGTACAGTTGGTGGCAGTGGCAATGGGCTATAAAATTCAAACCCAACACTGATGTGAAGGACTTCTTTTATGATGTCTATGATTTTCACTCCGAATTAGCAATTGCCCCTGGAGTCCAAGCAAGATTCATGCTGTCAAATAAAGACGTTAGGGCAACAACAATTTCAAGTTGGAGATGAATGCCAACTTGATGTCAATCCACAACATTTAAAATAAAAACAAATCATCTTGCGGGTACAGGGTTTGACATAATTTACTGTCACATTTGCTGTGTATAATGATGAGTAAAGCACTGAATGAACTGCTGAGGAGCCAAAAAAAAAAACAACAACAATACAATCTCCAGCGTGGTTAAGATTACACAAATATTTTTTTAAGATGTATTTTTCTGTTAAATGTGTTTGATGTTGAACATAAAATTTTAAATCCACTGTATCCAACCCTTGTGAGTGTGTTTTTCTTTTTCTTAAATACACAGTAAGACATTCATCCGTTTTTTTTTTCCTGTAAATCTTGTGACATTCATGAGACCTGTGTCCTGACCAGGCCTAGGAGAAGATCTTTATCTTTGTGCAGAAGTGATGCAGTGTCAATGGGGTGAAACTGTGGGAGCACTCGGCACACAACCAGAGGGATTGTTAAAAAAGGGGACACACTTGGCTTCAAAGAAAATACTAAGATAATTAAATCTAAAAAGTTCACTTAATGGCAGAAAATATAATTTCATTAAATACTTAATTTTATTAGAGGAATTAAAACTAATTTCCTCAGACTACTTCATTTTATCTACCAAAAGCCTAAAAAAAGGAACACGTTTTGGGAAATGGTATTTCTATGTACTGAAGTGTTGGTCCGCCATGGGCTGAGCAACAGTGCCCCCTGCAGCCACATTGGGGTATCAGTTCTGTTTTTCCAAGTGGTCATTCAGATCGTTCAGGCTTAGTAAATTCTTAACAACAAGTCTCATTAAAACTGAATGGGAAACACGGCTCTAGACTGAATTAAATATAGGAAGAAAAAGTTAAATAGTTTTATATCTTTAAATCTGAAGAAATCCATAATATTCTACAGTATGTAACCAACCACCGTACCTATAGGAGCAAAGGACTCATAAATGTGTGGAGTAAAAAAACGTGTTTGTACAGTTTACTGTAAACTTTGTTCCTAAAGCAAGTACTAAGAAATGACCATACAGCTGTGAAAAGCAATGGGGTCTTGCTATTTAAAAGAATTATACTTCCTTAATTGGGGAGGGGATTATCACAGGAATTTATTATTGTCATAAAAACAAAATAAACTAAACATTTAACAGATAAAAAAAATTGGACCCCCTTTATATGTTTTACAACGCCAAAAAGTAATAAATAAATGAAGATCTGGAAACTTAAGACAAGTACAGCACAGGAGTGTGTGAGTGACACAGCTGCTCTTTGTTACAAATCAGGCGAAGGCGAGCGTGTCATCACAGGACCCTAAGTTTTACGACAACCCAGCGAGAGAGTTATCACTTATCAGCGAGTTGATCAGTCGCTCTCTCCCGTGGGCGACGCATTCTTGACCATATCAGCTAAAGTGAGGACATGTGTGCACGAGGAAGACGTGTTTGTAAATAAGCACACACACAAACTGAACAGGAGTCCAGGGGCAAGTCTACACTGCACATGATCGGGACAGATCACATGATCATCCCAATTACAGAAAACAAAAAAACAAAAACAAGCAGTTAAAGTTTGTGGGTGAGTTTGACTGAATATGTGCACGATGCATTTGCAGTGGAAATGAAAAAGTAAGTCGTAGTTTTGGGCATGTTGTCAAAGGCCTGGCGCAGTTTTTATTACAAATACTTTGAGGTTTCCTCAAACTGTTTTCTTCCAGAAGTCGGACTGTAAAGGAGGTTTCACTACTTCCTGCATGTTTTGTGTTTCTCTCCTGTTTAACCCATCTTGCAGCCTAAAAGTTTTCATTTTTCTTCCTCCACCTCCTCCTCTGCTCCTCGCTCTTTTTCATCCATTTTTTTCCTTTCTAACATGACCTCCCTCCCACCACATGTATGACTGAGCTGGCTGCAATCTGAGCTGAATGTGGCAGTGGTTTAGAGTCAACACTCTACTTCCACTTAAGTTTTCTTTGCCTATTCCCTCACCACCAAGGAAAAGTAAAATCTTTGATTTGGCACATTTGCTTGAGTAATGGAAAGGAAATACCACCAGGCAACGACAGAAAACCTAAAATTATGTATTTGCTCATGTGCTAAAGCAATTTGTTGAGATGTTGAGAGACGTTGACAAAAGTCAAAACATTGAATAAAAAGTGAAAAAATCTGAGGATTTCTATTTTTACTGGATGCTTTATGACCTCCATATTTAGAACATATCACATCTCAGCCTCCTACGCCTGGATACCACTCCACCAGAGAGAGCAGCCTGTTAGCACAGCTGTCTACAGATAGCAGCATTTCTACTAACAAACACACAGACGACCGAGTGTCCTTACAGGTTAGTAAGAAAGGAGGCATTCAGGACCAACTACTTTGTGGTACCTTCTGTACAGTTCAGTCACAAAGAGGTGTCAGAAATACTGCTTGAAATTAAAAGAATCTCCTGAGGGTGGCGCTATAAGTTGAGTCACCGAGAGACCACACATATCGGGTTTCATCCACAATGAGAAAGCATTTTGTCTAAAGAGTGCACTTCATGGAGAATAGTTTCAAAGGTCCAGGTCCAAGTGTTTTTATTAGGTCACATGATATTTAGAAAAACTGCTATGACACACAGAGCAAACACACGCAGACACAGATACATAAGCAATCTGAATCATTTAGTAAATTATTAATCTAATTATAATTTTATAATTATAATATAATTATGGTTACACAGAAGTTGGCAAATTGTGTCACTTATCTAAAATAATCTTGGAGTCAACCCAACACTTTGGAGAGGTAGGTACTTGAATTTCTTCTTGACTAAAGGGTTGACATTTACCTCCCTTTGTCTGGCAGACTGAGGAGGGGGCAACATCCGTCTCCAGTGTAGTGGATTGTATTGGCATATTTCACATATGTCACTTTAAAGGGCTTATCTTTTTAACGGCTGTCCATGGAGCAGCCCTGTGATTCTCATCATCACCTCAGCCGACTTACATTCACAGACAGTCTACACTGACGCTTTCACAAAACCATGCCTTCTGTGGCTGGAGCTGTCATTTCAGAGTTGAACTATAAAGGCATTGGGAGGAAAAGGATAATAAATCTAAGGGAACAAAAATTGCAGACCCAGTTTAAAATACAGGCTTGAAAAAGAATTTCCAGAGAAGCTGATACACATCTTGACTAAAATCTGGAATGTGGTCATTTATTGTGGCCTTCACTGAACAGGCCAAAGGAGAGATTACATCTTTAATCTTCATTCTATTTGTGGAAGATAAACACATTTAAATTTTATACCTGCAACACACTCCATTAAAGTCAAGACGGCGGCAAAGTGAGACTGAAAAGTCACTATAGGGAGTGCACAAATGAGCAGATTATGTGTATTTTGAGTATGTAGTTAATATCATGACAACTTTCACACATGCTAATGTTTGAAAGTTGTCAATTAACATTTGGCCAATTGTTGCTTGTTAGAAAATCTAAAAACCTGGCAATGAACTCATGAACTTCTGTTTTTACACAAGAATAGTCCAGGTTTAGTCCCAAAAAGCATGATCTCATAGGTAAGAGCTTGACTGTCCTGCCTGCAGTCCAGGTATTTTGTCTCTGCGTCCAGAAGAGAAGCTTCCAAATGTGTACAAACTTAAGTGTTCTATGAAGCAAAACTAGAGTATTACAGCC